ACTGGTTTTTAGAATGAAGATATTATTTTATTAATAGAATTAAAGAAAAATTAGCCATTATTAACTTAACTAAATATCAAATAGAAATAACTTTTTTCTCAATTTAAAGCCAAAATCCATAAAATACAAGGGAAGTATATTATTGTACCAGTTGATAAGGCCAACTGTAATTTTGGCTTTATCTGTGAGTGTTTTTATGCCCAAATTATAACTAGTGAGATAGGTACTACACAAACTTTTAAATTGCAAAATAAGTCTAAAGAAGATTTTATTAACAACTTGTTGAAAGCTATAAAAAATTTCATGTTGAAATAAATCCATATACAGAATTACCATATTTATATATGATACCTAAATTACATAAATCTCGTATTAAATTTGGTTTTATTTCTAATTCAGTAAATACTATACCGAAACAACCTTAAATTTTATTAAGTAAAAATTACTAAATCAGTTATTTGTCATATTACAACAAAATACAAGTAATAAACAAGATTTTTGGATAATTAAAAATAATGAACCTGTTTAATAAACTTTAGAAAATTTAAATAACACTATGAGTAGATACAATTCAAACATATAATTTTACTAAGTTGTTGGCCCGGCATGGCCAGGTAGTTAATGAGCTTGACTCGCAATCTGCGGGTCGCGAGTTTGAATCCCCATCCCACCAAACATGCTTGCCCTTTCAGCCGTGGGGGCATTATAATGTGACGGTCAATCCCACTATTCGTTGGTAAAAGAGTAGACCAAGAGTTGGCAGTGGGTGGTGATGACTAGCTGCCTTCCCTCTAGTCTTCCACTGCTAAATTATGGATGGCTAGTGCAGATAGTCCTTGTGTAGCTTTGCGCGAAATTCAAAACAAACAAACAAACAATACTAAGTTGTGTAAAGAGTAGTGCCCAGGTGGGCTTAATTGTTGGAGTTTCAATTAAAACTACTCGTTACACCAAATTTATTTATTGGAGGATTTATCGTGACGAGTGGAGCCACAAGTCGCTAACTCTAGGAGTTTAGAGTTAGACTAAAGAAATTGAGTCTCAGGCCAAGAGGAAACACTCAAAATAACAAAAGAAAAATTTATGTAGCACCATAAGCAGCTCATTTGGTTACATAGCCCCATGTAAATGTAACTTGTTTAAATTTTTCACTGTGGCTGGGACATACATTTCCCAGTGCTCCCACTCCCCTCACATTGCAACTGGGACAAATGTTTCTCATTGTCATTCAAAATTGCTGTGTGCGCTGTATGGTGAGTAAAATGAGTTGGAAAATATTTATTGGTATCCCACCTAATGTTGATATATGGATTCCCACAATGTTTTCCACTCAGTTCTTTATTAACCAACAAGATGCCTAATCAGAATATATAACAACTGCATGCTGACTTCACTAGAGTGGCAAATAGCAACTCTAATTGCTATGTAAATATGCTTGATGTGCTTTACTCGGATAGCTTAGAAGATAGTGAAAGTGAGTTGCGCGGTGTTCAAATGTGTGATAATGAAGAGGCAATGAGACAAGAGGATGTTAAGCTGTCCAACTAGTAATGATAGTCAACATAATGAACCTGTACCCAGCAGAGGAAGGCATAAACAATGAGAAATATTCAGCCCAGCCATAGCGAATGGGTAAATAAACCTTGTTTTAGCATATTTTCCTTTTTCTTGTTAAATGTTTTGTTTTCTAAAAATTATGTTCATTTTGCTAAGCATTATTGCTCAACACTGTTGATTAATGATTTAGATCTCTATCAAACATTATTGGCAATTTATGACATTCCCATCTCAAAAACAGTTTAAATTTCCAGTTTGGTTCTGCTGGAACTTCCAACAAGGGTTACTCTTGGAGTTGTAAAATAAAAACTAGAAAACTACATTGAATGATGAATGCTAATAAAGTATTGATAATTGAATTGATAATGATAGAAAACAAAATCTTACTGTGTATCCATAGCACAAATTGTATAAGCTATTCAGTTGAAAATAATTTTAAGATGAAAATAACATTATAGGAATACTTATTTTTAGTTAAATTTTTTGTTAAGTTGAGAATTTAAAAAAAAAATTAATATTTGTAAAAACATCATGTAAGAATTGTGCCTTAAGTCATATTAAAAAGTCTTGAAACAGTATATCTTTTTAACTAACTGATTGGGAAGCCAAATGTTGGGAGGAGATGTTTAACAAAATGGGCTTAATATTTATTGGACTTAGGTAATGAAAGAGATATTTATAAAGAAAATTCTCTTTTCTTCTGCAGAAAAACTTTTTTTAGATGTTAAAAAATACCTAACCTTACTAATAACTTTGAAGAATGATTGTAACAGGTCATTAAGATGTAATTAGTTCAGGAATGTTTGCTAACAAAAGTTAGTGTTGTCAGATTTAAACCAAGTATAAAAAGAATCTTTGTTTTTAACAGGCATATTAAGGTTAAATTATTTCATGAAACTCTACTTTCTTTATTAGTACAGTATTTATTAAAGGACACTTCATTTAATATTTGTCTTGAAGTTATTAACTGTATGTTTTACTATAGATTGGTAGATTAGTTATCCATAATACAAAATAAACTAGAGACAAAATAATGGTGACCACTCTTTCCTCAGTTTGTTAATTCTGATAAATATCTTAATCACATTAATGAGTTTTTGAAAAGTAGCTGCTTTCAGGTTTGCCTTCAGTGAAATATTTTCAACTAAATGTTTCCATTTACCTTATATTCTGCTGTAGTTTCATCACTCAAGAACCCAAGAAATTTTGTTTCTATATCATATTTCTTGTGATGGTTTGTACGTTATTCATTCTCTGTAGTATTAAATATATTTTTTTACTCCTCTGAAGCTCATCTTTCTTTACATAACAACAAAAATCAAGAGAGGGGAAATTATTGCACCAGAAAAAATATAGTTAATTGTGTCATAGTACCAGACTCCGATTCAGAAGGACAATACAGCCCAGTTCAACCTCTTCCAAACTTTACTACAAATGTAATGGTGAAAGTAATCAAGCCAGAACCACAAACAGACAGGAGCTGTGCTGTAAAGTAAGTTTGCATTAATTTCTACAGAGTTGCTTTCAAAAGTTAATTAAAATGTATATGGATAAACTTTGCATCAAAATGTAATTAATAAATAAAATTTTAAGCTTATATAAGTTTAAATTTATTAATTTTAAAAGGAAATATTTAGATAAATTCTCAATCTCCCCTTGTATATGTAACATGACATTGTTCACTCTGATTTACCAATCCTCATTTTTTTCATCACCCCACTTGGATATCCTGAGTTTGACATACATTACTTATTGTAGTATAAATAGCACTAAAGAATAATCTAATGTTTATAGCCTTCAATCTTCCTTGTTTACAAAATGTAAACTAGAAAGTGAGACCCACTTGCCATGCCCACCTTTCACATCCCCTTTTTTTGCAAGTTGATAATAGTTCTCTGATGTTTGATATTACATCATTTATAACAATTTTAATTTACTGAATGATGTATGATGCTACCTTGTTCTCAATACACATTTTTAATTATTTTGACTACAGATATTTAAATAAGTATCCCTTGATATTCATTTAGGAGGTTTTAGAGTTTATGCAAATATAATTTTAAAATTTTAAGATAAACAAATATTTTCAAACTTAACATGAAAGTCGCTTTCCACTTGGACTAGTCAACACTTTGACTCCATATATTCATGGACAAATCTTTAGAGTAAATACTTAATTAAAAAACTGGATTTTCTTGTGTACAAAAAACTTGTAACATTTACTAAAAGCTTGCCAAATTTTGTGAAGATACACGTGGCATATTAAAAGTTACGGTATGAAAGCTTTCATGATTACCTGGTGATGACAAAGTCAAAATGACTGAACATGAATTAAAAAAGTTAAATGAAACTTTTGTGTTACAGATATAGCAGAAACTCAGTTGTGTATATTAGGGCTGTGTTTAAAGGTTCATTTGCTAGCCAGGAATTCAGAGATAGTTCTAAACATTTGAAAGGTCATCAGGTGGCATTCAAGCAGTATCAGAGTCATTGTTTTTCTCTTATTAACAGAAACCACTTGACAATATTTGAACAGTAATCACACATTAAATGTTACTTACATGGAAAATTCCCATTACTACAACAAAAGTTGTATTGAAAAAAAAAACACCACTGCCAACATTTTACATGTAGCAGCTCCTTCTGTGCATTGGAGCTTGGAGCAGACCATTATGATGCAGCACATATAAAATAGTAGTTGTAGTGGCATCATTAGAAAGTTATAAAACTTAGTACTCTTGAAGGTTTGAACTTTTGTTTAGGAATGTGCTCTGAACCTCTGACAGTCCAAATCGACCCTTTGTTACAGCCCTAGTTATATTGCCTGTGTGTAAAGTACTCATCCTGGGTTCAGATATATTTGTGAAAAGTTGCATTATATTTAGAATGATAAGCACTTACCTCACCTTTATATGTTCTTGTACATTGAAAGTTGGATCATAGTGACCTTTAATATGAACCAACAACATCCAGTAATTAAATGATACTACTACGGTATTTTTAAAAATTTGTCAGAATCATAAACTTAAATAAATATAGTGTCATTATATTGTAATCAAGGAGTTTATCAAAAAGTAAATATAAAGCAGCTGGAACAAATATTAACTGATAATTTGTTCTTTCCTTATAGCACATGGTTGTTTGTTTTACTCTATTAATAATCAAGTGTTACCATAAACATTTTCTTTGCTTCAGTCTACCACCATTGGTCTCACAGAAGAAACAACTTCTTGCAAAGGCCCAGTCACAGACTAACAAAGAAGTATATGGTCAGTTAGTCTTTCAGTCAAATGTCATCCCTTCCCTCCCAGCAAAACGTGAAGTAGTCAGTGCAGGGGAAGAACCTGTAGCAGTTGTTCGTCGTGGTTATGGACCATCGTCAGGAACGGGAAGAGTGGTGAATATAGACTACTCTAGTCAGCATGGGTGTGAGAGGGAATCCTTTTCACTTTATGCTCATCACCAGGTACAAAACTTGGAAGGAGAGAAGCAAATTAAGTGTTCAACATCACCTGTCGCTGTGAGAGATGGGGTGAGCTGTGTTTGTCACTTACCTCTATGAGAATAGGATAAACTTTCTTATCTGTGAGTATGAAAGTTAGGAGAGCGAAATATATGTTGTTTTTCCTGGGATTTAAAATTGGGGTAAGCTAAGTGTGTTCTTTATCCTGTAACTTTGAAAGATGCCATAAACTGTGTACGTCATGTTGTTCCTGGAATTTTGAAAGATGGTTAAGGTTTTATATATGTTGTTTTAGCTGGCATTATTTGAAAGTTTAGTGAAAAGATATCACACTAGAAGTATTTAATAATACTAGGTAAAAAAATATACCTTAATTCTGATAAAAAAATTTCATGTAACACTATATTGAAATTATAACTATGACCTATAGAAGATTGTAAGACATAGATGTATGTATGATAACTTTATACTTTTTGAAATTTTAATCCAAACTGATGTGTTTTCAAGACTTGTTCCTAGTATATTCTCTTACCCAATATATTTCTCAAATAGAGAATTTATTCTTGAAAAAATTTATTTTGATAAGTCATGTGAACTCTTTCAGAGAACACTAGTTACAAGGAGTGCTACCCAATTAGTTAACAGTGTTTTGGGGACTGGAAATACTGTAAGACATGTTAGCTCTACAGCACACCTTTCTCCAGTTCAACATGTGGGACAGTCATTTTATCTGACTACTGATTCACAAGCTGATATCTACAGGTGAGTTTTTGAAATATGATAATAATATTTTAATCGGCTAATAATTCAAAACTGTTTTTAACATCTGAGTTACAGTTTTTTTTATATATTAAGTGTGGTTACTACTTCACATGAGAAATGGTCACTTTGTATAGCATACTTGCCAACTCTCACTATTTGGGTGGGTGTTTCCCGAATTTAGACCTTTGACCCGATCTACTGATTGGTTTTAAAAATTGGTCATTTCTACTGATTTTTTTCTGAAAATCTATTGATTTGCGTAACGGTAATTAACTTTTTCATACAATAAAAATTTCCTGGGAAATGTCTGCCAGTCATTTGCTCTCTGTAGTGAAACCAGTTCAATAAACACGTGATTCATACTGGAAGTTGGGCTTCACTTTCTTCTTGGCCAATGAAAACAAATTATACTAATAAGATGTATTTATCATTCTAAACCAATCTTGATTGTTCACGTGCTTGTAAATTGTTTATTTGCCAAGGGTCACGTAATATCTCCCCCTTGAGAATTTTGAAATATTGGCAAGTATGGTATGGATTCTATTAATTCAAATAAGTATGTATAACTGAATTGTAAAATCAGTGTCTCATGATGAACGTAAAAGTTGGCAAGAAAAATGTTTTTTTTAATGTTTATTTTATCATCATGGATAAATTAAACTTATCACAGAGGTGTAAAAATTCACTAGTCTGCAAAATTTTGAGTTCAAACTCCTATAACTTCCACAAATATTAGTCGAAAACTAGTGCAGTTCTGCTTGCATGAAATGTGTGCATGTGTGTAAAATCAATTTCTATATTAAATTATCCAAAATGAAAACAAAGTTATCTGTTGTTATTGTTTCTTTCAAACACTAAATATCTACATTCACTAACATTTTTGTAAGATTGGCTCTCTTGATTATTAATTTGTTATAAGCCTGATGTCAGTCAGTTATGACTTGTATGATAAAATGTCCAAGTATTTAATTTCATATTCATAACCCTTTTTAATGTATAATAGTTATTTTCTATGCACAGTTTTATTTATACTAGATGTGTTTGGGTAATATGAGTAAGACTGTTCACTCAGAACTTCAGCCTTTTTACTAGATACAACATATTGAATATTAATCTGTCACATATAGACTGGTTAACCTGCCCACATCTGTGTCATGTGTTATATTTTTAGTTTTTTTTTTATACTATGGAAGAAAACAGCGCAATGAATGTAGATATGTAATGCATCGTAATTTAGTCATTATGTTGAAAAAAATCAGTTTGACTAGTAGAATTTCATTTTGAGCCAGAAAATTTCTCACACCATTAACCTTGGGCTAATATGTCAAAAGAAGTTTTTATACCCATGTTAGTAGTTCAGTGTGAACAATTTCAAATAATTGTTTTTTGACAGGGAATATTGTCAACCAACAGTGTACATGACTTCCAGCCTAACACAACCAGCATATATCCCATCCATTAATCAGCAGAAATATGTTCTTACACCTGGGACTGGAAGATCATTTCCTGCTGCCCAACTACCAGCTCCTCCTCCAGCTCACCACCATACTAGCCACCGATCAGTCATGGCAGCCTCAGTACCATGTGCTGCAGCTCATCCTCTGCCTGCCCACATGCAACCAGCTAGTGCTACAGCTGCTATACTTCCCAGTTCCTCTGCGTCTCATGCATCATTTTCCACTGTTGCCCAACAAGTGGCACCACCTCCTCCTTATGGCTATAGTGTAAACCCATTAAGCCCAGGGAAGTCCCAGTATCAACACCTGTACCACATGTTTGGAGATGTACATGGTCACGGTGTACCTGAAGTTTGATGGTCAATATTCTTTGACCCCATGAATATGAACTCTGAAGGAGAATCATAAACTTGGAATTGTTCATTGATTTAGTTTGTTTTTTTTGAGTTTTGAACAGAAAGAAAGGGGTAATTATTGTTTTAATGTGAGCAGCAAGAATTTATGTTAATGAAAGAAGAATGTCAAAGAATTAAACCAGTAGAGTTTGTTTTATGTATTATGTTCTCATATAAACATAAAATCAATGTTATTTTGTTGTCTTATAATAATTTTCAACTGATGGGTAAATTTGGAAATATGATTTGTAGGAATATATAATATATTTTATAATTGTTTCAGTATGAACAGCAAAAAATTAGGTTAAGAAAAGAAAACCTGAACAATTTCTTTTGTATTAAGTCCTCACATAAACACAAAAATCAGTGTTATTTTGTTGATTTTTAATTATTTTAACTAATGGCTAAATTTTGAAATATGATTTATAGGAAAATATCTATTATTGTCATGAAATATGATTTTAAATATGTTTTATCTCAACTGCTTATTTTTTATTACTATGTTTTGAAAAAGCTTGTATAAGTCGTAGAAATATGCTTTGTTGCCTCAATATTTGATTTATAATGAGTTGTTTTGGATCAATAAACATATATAAATATGTTTCTTTTTGTACACTGATTTTGCTTTTGTAGCAAATGATACTTAACAAGTGGAATTAAGGTAGGAACTATTTATTCATACATGATATCCCATACTTAAACAATTTCAGTTCAAAAACATTTAGTTGACTAGTATATTAAGGGTGTTAATGTTATTTCTAAAATGTAGGATGGAAAATGTTTTATTAGTTGCTTCTAAGTTTTTGAAAATTGATTAGAATTTAACTTGTATGGAAAAAAGTAGTTTCTGCAAATACAATTTTAAGTACTTGTAGAATAAATTTTAATTTTGTCGAAGAGAAAACTTTTTAATTTGCATTTCTGTTCACAGAAATTAAAG